GAAGGTAAGCCATACAACCGAAGGTAAGCCATACAACCGAATTTTGCCGATTCAATCCGACGGAGAATGCCGAGCCTCTCCTTTTGACCAGTTAGAGACGTCCTCTTCACATTCGTGGTACCCTCGGCCAACTTCGTTTGCAAAGAAAATCTTCGGCAATCTCTGGCTTTTCTTGAGGTATCTTCGGTTGCAAGCCAAAAGTCGACACCCTAATAGAAACTAGTTCTTATGTAGGGGAGTTTTGTCATGTCCCGTGGATGGCTACAGACCTAATGTCTATTTATGTTTCAATAGAGAGATTTCGCACATACGTAAAATACAACTTATAACGTATACTTATACTTATAAGAAAAGGTACAAGGTGTTTCATAATGTGGGCTTTTCGTCGTCTTTTCTCGGACTGTAATAAATAAAGGTCAATGGGATGCCATTTGTACTTTCTTGAATTGTAGCATGTTTAGTTGATCCAAATGTGTTTGTCTAGAATAAAATATGCTCATATAGTACGTACATATAGACCCATCTCTTCTCAAATTGACTTTTTGGAGATGCTCGTTATGAAACACCCTGTATGTCATTTGTTGAGCTACTCAATGGGTCGTTTCCAGGAATTGCTAGAACCTACTGGCTTGATTGGTGTTTCAAATTGATGGTTAAAGTATTTGATTGGGTACTGTTCCTACTCAGCCAATTAGTTTTAAAAAATGCTTGCGGTCAATTGTTCCACACACATGTAGGTAAAGCTTTATACGGAGATCCAACTGTATAAGTTTATCATCTACGTGTATATACAATTTTGTAAGTTCATTGAACTTATACTGATCATGAAAACTTTGAAATAATCAACTTGTTTATGTAACGACTCACTTTAAAGGATCATGACTCACTTTAAAGGGTCGTGTTTATAATACACTACAACTACTAGGACACGGAAGCAAGCATTTAATTATAATGTGCATAATCCACACGTGCAGATGACAGTGTATTCACAGTCTCTAGTTGATGGAGCTTTTCTATATCGGGAATTGTTATGTTCCATTAAGTACAATTTAAAATTGATTTTAGTAAATATTATAGTTCGACATGACCCTTTAAACTATACGTATACGTATAAGTTCTACTTTCACTTATGTGCGAAATCTCTCTAATATCTTGCACTAAATCACTCAATAAAAACTTTCATTATAGGGAAACAGAGCGCCACCTGGTGCACCATGGCCCCTGCCAAGAGAATGGGAAAACTCAACCCAAACACTTACACTCGACAAAACGTCGTTTAACTTCAAGTCGAACATCAACTGTGACATCATTGACGAGGCATTTAAAAGATACAAAGACTATGTGTTTATTGATCCATCGGGTCGCCCTGGCAACGGAGATAAATTGGAAGGGATTGATTTAAACATTAAATCTCCTTGTAAAGTGAATGGTTACCCGTCTGCTGAAGAAAATGAATCATGTAAGTATAACACTTTTATAATCCTAACATATGACTTTATAAATTGTGAGGAACGGACAATGCAAATGTTTTCAATAGTATGCCTTATAGTGCTGTTTCCACCATAGAGGTTAATCTATTAACATTACATTTGCAGATACAATTTCAATATCTGTTGGCAAGCGTGGATCCATCGAGGCAGAGACTGTCTGGGGAGCATTAAGAGGTTTGACCGCACTATGAAATCTTACTGTTTCGATTGAATTTTAGTTCAATTCTGTATCTATAATTTGTATTAATTTGTTAACATTTTCTCTGACTGCCGGGTTTAATGACCTGACCTTTGATTACACTTTTTAAACGGAGAACATATTGTTTACTATTGGTCTTTATTAAAATCGCAGGGTTAGAGACTTTTAGTCAGCTAATCTGGCTAACCAATGAAAAGTTTCTCCAGGTTAACGTGACTACAATACGAGATTGGCCGAGATTCTCGTACCGTGGAATTATGATTGACACTGCAAGGCATTATCAGCCCCTTCCTATTATTTACAAAAATCTAGTAAGTTATTAACGCAATGTTTTATTTTTTTTGAATTCAAGAGACCAGTATTTCTCTTATATATATCTCTTATTCAAAGGTTAGCAAGCTTGGTTAAAATTAGTTATGCCCCATTGATTCGATTGCTGGTCAGGCAATATGCTTGTTTTAGTTTAGCGATTCATAGAATAGCTACTTCATTGATCATTTAATTTAGAGTTTCAGTGTGCTCGACGCTTATAGAGTTTCAACCTGCTAGTATTTCACTTAATTTAGAACTTGGAGCTTGATGGTAACGGGAATGCATCGAGTGACCACCTCTTATTTGCGTTCTCATTGTTACAACGCTTATTTCACAAATGCACTATTGTAATTTAGGATGCGATGGAACAAAACAAATTCAACGTTCTTCACTGGCATATTGTAGACGACCAGTCATTTCCGTATGTCAGCAGAACATTTGCAAACTTGTCTTCATTGGTAAGATGCATTTCTATTATAGATTATGATAAGATTGTTGTTTATATTGCAAGATTGCAAATCCGTCTCACCCCGTGCTATGTTCAACATTAATTCTATACATTTTATAAATACAATGAGCGATTACACTGACCTCTTTTGCTTCATATATACGTCTTTGTCTAATGATTTACACCATTCACATTCAGGGAGCGTATTCACAGAAACATTTATACACGCAAAAAGATGTCGCTGATATTATACAATATGCACGCATGCGTGGTATTCGTGTAATTCCAGAGTTTGACACACCAGGACATACGATAGGTTTTAGCAAAGCATTTCCAGGTACGATTTCAAAAGTATGACTTCATTTTTTCCAAAACTTGAAAAAGAGTGCTCATTTGCCCAGGGCGAGAAATGCGTGCACACAGTGGTCCACTGAGAGTATTTTTTTTAATTATCACAGTTTTACTTTTACTTGATTTTACAATACTTTTTGCTCACAATATTCCGTGTCATTATCAAAGATATCATAGATGTATGATTAAAATCATGATCTCCACTTTTAGATCTACTGACACCGTGTTGGGGCGATGGTAAGACCCCTTATACTCCAAACTATCCTGAACACGCTCCAGCGGAAATCCTTAATCCAATACAGAACTACACATATGATTTCTTGAGGACTTTCTTTTCTGAAATTGTTGATGTGTTCCCAGACCCGTTTAAACATATGGGCATGGATGAAGTATATTATGCGTGTTGGTAGGTGGTTGGTAGATTTTTACTAATGCATATTGTACTCGTGTGATTGGTATTCATTTTCAATTCTTTTTATTTATTCTCAAAATTATCAATAAATATTATTTAAATTATTATATTATTAATTAATTATCATATTAATAATATTATTCTTTGATAACTTATTCCTTTTTGATCAAAATCAGTTGTCCAAAAACGTATCCAGTTAGAATTTAAGATGCTGGACTGGCACCTGCCTAAAGACGACATCACCTCATATTATAAAGTCCCTTCAATGTCATTAAGTACTGTGCTTGTTGTTAATGGATTTCAATAACCGTCAATCAAATACCAAAAACGAAACTCCTGATTTTTCAGAAGATGATTCAAACATTCATTTTAGGAAATCCAATCCGAACATCACAGAGTTTATGTCCCAAAATGGCATGACCGGATACAACCAGCTGGAGCAGTACTACGCCCAGAAACTTCTGAACATCATGGAGGAACTGGGATCGAAGTATATGATTTGGCAGGAGCCAATCGACAATAATGTTACGGTAGGCAAGTTACTGTCCAGTCCTGCCTCGACTTATGGACTTCCCTATCTAGTTGATTGTGGCATATATAGGAATGGTGGTCGCAAGGGCGTAAACAAAAAACTATCGAACTACACCGACTCTGCCACGCAACCAAGATATTTTATTCGTTCAGATCTCATTCGGCATTCTTTGAAAAATTTAATTATTTAGATAATAAATTGACGGACCCAAATATTATTGGATACATTTATTTATTTTCATCTCACGACAGATAAAATGTACATTAAAAATATACAAATTATTTCAGCTCCAAAAAGACGCGATAGTTAACGTTTGGAAAGACACATATCTGAATCCGAACAAACCTTTCGACAAGTGGCAAAACTACATCTCCAGAATTGCGAAGAAAGGATACAAAATCGTTCTAGCAGCTCCATGGTATCTCAACTACATAGCGTATGGCTATAGGGAAATGTGGATGAAATACTATGAAACAGAGCCCCTAGATTTTGAAGGTTTTGCATATAGATATATTCCTATTCCGCCAATTTTGGCTACGATACTCTCACTGGTCAGTATCAAGCGAAAGTTACGGCCATCACCTTAACCGACACTTCACGTCCGCCATCTTAAATGCACCTGTTATATCATATTATGGTGGAAAATGTGCATTTACTTTGTCACCGCTGATATTCAGTGATGCTGAGACTGACTAGATTGTAGAATGGGTTTCATGTACATTCCTTGATGGATAGCGTCGGTTTTAACCATTAAAGTCGATTGTGGTGATTTTGAGTACTTGAATAACACTTTATATTTTATCATTGATATGATTATGTTATTTTTCAGGGACGGACGAAGAAAAGAAGTTGGTGATTGGAGGCCAAGCTTGTTTGTGGGCTGAGTATGTTGATGGAACAAATCTCTTGTCAAGAATGTGGTATGTTATGTAATTTATTACTAGTAATGTATTACTAGTTAATATCATTAACAACCTTCAAGAATATAATAAAACTAAATTATATATTTCGATCGAATTTCAATTATTTTGAATACTTATAGCCAATTGGATAAGAGCACCTTCATTTTTAATAAAATAAAATATGCAGTTGTTCTATATTTATTTGTACTTTGGGTTGTCAGTCTGCACTGTATTTCAAGCTCATTATTTTTGGTCAGGAACTCTAAAAATGCGGACAATGCAAAATTCAAAGAAGATGATACTTTACTTTTACAATATTTCTCTTTAATAAAATGTAGGAATACATCTTCACTCCCCTTCATAAGTCTGGAAACCGGATGTTCCCTTTTTGGATCATTTATCAAAGCCTGATTATGATCGGCGATTTAAGAGGATTCATCAAAGGCGTTGATATTCTATAAAATAAAAACATCAGATTTCCACACTTATGGAGGGGAGTGTACTTTGAATGTTGCAGGCCACGTGCATCAGCCGTTGGGGAGAGACTGTGGAGCGCACGGGAGGTGAATGATTCAAACAGTGCAGCATTTAGGCTGGACCAACATCGTTGTAGGATGGTTAAGTAAGATATATATCATTGATTATAACCTAATGGCCATCTCCAAATCCCGGGATTTTAAACATCTTCATGTGAGCAGGATTTAGGCACTATTACTCTGAACGAAATGGATGTGATAAAATCACCATATTTGTCTTTATTTTTAGTCGAGGCATACCAGCGCAGCCTATACTAAATGGTTACTGTGGGGACTACGAGTATGGTATGGACAAGGAAACCCCAGTGTCAGCATCATATAAAAACATTATAAACACTCATGTATTTGTAGTTGTATTGCTGAATGTATTGACTACCAGCATCATATAAAAACATTATAAACACTCATGTATTTGTAGTTGTATTGCTGAATGTATTGACTGCCAGCATCATATAAAAACATTATAAACATTCATGTATGTGTAGTTGTATTGTTGAATGTATTTACTACCAGCATCATATAAAAACATTATAAACACTCATGTATTTGTAGTTTTATTGCTGAATGTATTGACTGCCAGCATCATATAAAAACATTATAAACATTCATGTATGTGTAGTTGTATTGTTGAATGTATTTACTACCAGCATCATATAAAAACATTATAAACATTCATGTATTTGTAGTTGTATTGCTGAATGTATTGACTGCTAGCATCATTTAAAAACATTATAAACATTCATGTATTTGTAGTTGTTTTGTTGAATGTATTGACTGCTAGCATCATATAAAAACATTATAAACATTCATGTATTTGTAGTTGTTTTGTTGAATGTATTGACTGCTAGCATCATATAAAAACATTATAAACATTCATGTATTTGTAGTTGTATTGTTGAATGGATTGACTGCTAGCATCATATAAAAACATTATAAACATTCATGTATTTGTAGTTGTATTGTTGAATGTATTTACTACCAGCATCATATAAAAACATTATAAACACTCATGTATTTGTAGTTGTATTGTTGAATGTATTTACTACCAGCATCATATAAAAACATTATAAACATTCATGTATTTGTAGTTGTATTGCTGAATGTATTGACTGCCAGCATCATATAAAAACATTATAAACATTCATGTATGTGTAGTTGTATTGCTGAATGTATTTACTACCAGCATCATATAAAAACATTATAAACATTCATGTATGTGTAGTTGTATTGCTGAATGTATTGACTGCCAGCATCATATAAAAACATTATAAACATTCATGTATTTGTAGTTGTATTGTTGAATGTATTTACTACCAGCATCATATAAAAACATTATAAACATTCATGTATTTGTAGTTGTATTGCTGAATGTATTGACTGCCAGCATCATATAAAAACATTATAAACATTCATGTATTTGTAGTTGTTTTGTTGAATGTATTGAATGCTAGCATCATATAAAAACATTATAAACACTCATGTATTTGTAGTTGTATTGCTGAATGTATTGACTGCCAGCATCATATAAAAACATTATAAACATTCATGTATTTGTAGTTGTATTGCTGAATGTATTGACTGCCAGCATCATATAAAAACATTATAAACATTCATGTATTTGTAGTTGTTTTGTTAAATGTATTGACTGCTAGCATCATATAAAAACATTATAAACACTCATGTATTTGTAGTTGTATTGCTGAATGTATTGACTGCCAGCATCATATAAAAACATTATAAACATTCATGTATTTGTAGTTGTTTTGTTGAATGTATTGACTGCTAGCATCATATAAAAACATTATAAACATTCATGTATGTGTAGTTGTTTTGTTGAATGTATTGACTGCTAGCATCATATAAAAACATTATAAACACTCATGTATTTGTAGTTGTATTGCTGAATGTATTGACTGCCAGCATCATATAAAAACATTATAAACATTCATGTATGTGTAGTTGTATTGTTGAATGTATTTACTACCAGCATCATATAAAAACATTATAAACACTCATGTATTTGTAGTTTTATTGCTGAATGTATTGACTGCTAGCATCATATAAAAACATTATACACATTCATGTATTTGTTGTTGTATTGTTAAATGTATTGACTGCTAGCATCATATAAAAACATTATAAACATTCATGTATTTGTTGTTGTATTGTTAAATGTATTTACTACCAGCATCATATAAAAACATTATAAACACTCATGTATTTGTAGTTGTATTGCTGAATGTATTGACTGCCAGCATCATATAAAAACATTATAAACATTCATGTATGTGTAGTTGTATTGCTGAATGTATTGACTGCCAGCATCATATAAAAACATTATAAACATTCATGTATGTGTAGTTGTATTGTTGAATGTATTTACTACCAGCATCATATAAAAACATTATAAACACTCATGTATTTGTAGTTTTATTGCTGAATGTATTGACTGCTAGCATCATATAAAAACATTATAAACACTCATGTATTTGTAGTTGTATTGTTAAATGTATTGACTGCTAGCATCATATAAAAACATTATAAACATTCATGTATTTGTAGTTGTTTTGTTGAATGTATTGACTGCTAGCATCATATAAAAACATTATAAACATTCATGTATTTGTAGTTGTATTGCTGAATGTATTGACTGCCAGCATCATATAAAAACATTATAAACATTCATGTATGTGTAGTTGTATTGTTGAATGTATTTACTACCAGCATCATATAAAAACATTATAAACACTCATGTATTTGTAGTTTTATTGCTGAATGTATTGACTGCTAGCATCATATAAAAACATTATAAACATTCATGTATTTGTTGTTGTATTGTTAAATGTATTGACTGCTAGCATCATATAAAAACATTATAAACATTCATGTATTTGTAGTTGTATTGTTAAATGTATTGACTGCTAGCATCATATAAAAACATTATAAACACTCATGTATTTGTAGTTGTATTGTTAAATGTATTGACTGCTAGCATCATATAAAAACATTATAAACATTCATGTATTTGTAGTTGTTTTGTTGAATGTATTGACTGCTAGCATCATATAAAAACATTATAAACATTCATGTATTTGTAGTTGTTTTGTTGAATGTATTGACTGCTAGCATCATATAAAAACATTATAAACATTCATGTATTTGTAGTTGTTTTGTTAAATGTATTGACTGCTAGCATCATATAAAAACATTATAAACATTCATGTATTTGTAGTTGTTTTGTTGAATGTATTGACTGCTAGCATCATATAAAAACATTATAAACATTCATGTATTTGTAGTTGTATTGTTAAATGTATTGACTGCTAGCATCATATAAAAACATTATAAACATTCATGTATTTGTAGTTGTATTGTTGAATGTATTTACTACCAGCATCATATAAAAACATTATAAACATTCATGTATTTGTAGTTGTTTTGTTGAATGTATTGACTGCTAGCATCATATAAAAACATTATAAACATTCATGTATTTGTAGTTGTTTTGTTGAATGTATTGACTGCTAGCATAATATAAAAACATTATAAACATTCATGTATTTGTAGTTGTATTGCTGAATGTATTGACTGCTAGCATCATGTGCTATAAAACATTGAATTTAATTCCCGGCGCACTTATGCCTAAAAATGTTACAAAGACAACCGGTTAAAGATCTGATGTCTGCTAAGCAAAGTTTCCATTGACTGGAATAAGCTATACTGTACCCATTTATGTGTGAATGAATACTAAGACATTATATTTTTCATCCAAAATTAGGTTATGAATAAAGAAAAATGTTGGTATCGATACAAATGTGTTTACGGTAATGAATATTCAAGATCTGATGAATAGCACTGGCAAATTATAATACCCTTTTGCTATTTTCAGATAACATAACAGGATTTTTGAAATCAATCTATTATTTACTGACACTGAGAGTAAATACAGTTTTTAACTTTTGCGAAGAGACTATCTACTTTGGATCAATACTATAATGCATTATATTTGGCGAACAGTAATATCAGTCTACGAAATCATCTATGGATGTAACCGAATGTTAAAAATGATCGGTGCCTATTCGGAGCCAATTAAAGCGTAGTATACAATCTGGCAGTGAAAGTGGAGGACATGAAATGGGTGTTCTTCATTCACCTTGGATTTATTCATTATTTTTGACGATTTTTACGTCCATTTTATATCCAATAGATGCAACACCATGTCGGGAATTATGTGAAAGCAGTAAAAACAATACTGGGCAAGCAGTAAGTATGTTCTAATGATTTTTACCATTTCCGTGAATGATACTTTCACTTTGCTTTGAGTTGTTTCAGTTTCAATGCTTTGAGTTGTTTCAGTTTCAATGGAAATTTGGCAAGTATGGCTTAGCTTTGTTTCCCAGACTTCAAGAAGCAATCGAGTTTTAAAATCTGTAATTTTGATTTAAAATCTGAAAATCGAATATGGGTCTGTTAGTATAGCACGGACCCGTCTTAAATCCTAAAATGAATTCACAACGTAAATTATGAAATCAAACTTTTGGATCAGAAGTACCAGAGACTAACATATCTAAAGTAAGAGTCTAAAAATACAGAATGCCCCTTTGGGATACAGAATTTAGGAATTTAAAAGAAGATGACCAACTCTTTGAAATTATTGCGAGATAATCTTAGATTTTACTAGAGCATTATGACATAACTCCAGATTAAGGATGTTAAGAGTAAAGCGGTAGCAGTTTGTATAAAGTTCCTCAACTCGTGTTTGGTTTGTTAAAATGTAAATACCCATTTTCGTATTTTAGCTCTAACAATTCATGTTTCTAAAATCCGAACGCGATCGAGGCACATATCTTTTCAGAGACAATAGGAAAATAAACAAATGAAGTCACTGTAATTATATCTCGTAGGATGCTGGTCTAATATGATCCAGGCATAATTATCTTTTTTTCTAATTCACTCACAGGCCAAAGCTGACTGCAATTATTATAAATCATCAACTGATGAACATCCACTGATTGAAAGCAATTTCTCTGAAATAATTCCCGGATATAACTATTAATTTATCCCTTCTGATAATGCCACTTTAATGTAGTGGCTCCTACTGTAAAATACGTTGACTGGCCAATTCACGTGTCAGTATCAATTCTGATTTAAATTAAACATAGGCGAGTTTGATTGATAATTATGGAGCAAATTATTTCAAATCGTCAATGCCTAGATGCTGGCCGGGGTTGTCCAGGGACTATGATATTTAATGGTGCACTTCGCGGTCGAACTCTTCAATCGGGAGGAGTGAAAATCTTTGGATATAAATCGGAATATCTATAATCACGGCTGATACTTTTGATCTCATTGTTCTTCAAAACCATTAATAATTTACACTTCAACTAATTTCATGCAGGAATATGTCGGATTCAATTTTTAAATCT